GGGGTGCCTGTAGTCCCAGCCTACTCGGGAGGTGAGCGAGGAGAATGGGCTGTGAACCCGGGAGGGCGAGCTTGCCAGTGAGCCGAGGTATCGCCGCCCACTGGCCTCCAGCCCTGGGCGACGAGAGAGAGACTCCGTCTCAAAAAAAAAAAAAAAAAAAAAAGTTAAAGTACACAAGAGGAGAAAAGAGCTACAATAAAGTCCTTGTGAGATCATTCGTCTTAAGCAAATGTCAACCATTTTGCCTGTCTTATTTAATGTTCCCCCACTTCATTTTTTAGTTTGTTGGGTGCTATAGAATATTTTAATGGTAAAGATATCCTAATATGCTAGACCAGCCGAATTATGTTCTTAGTTTCTTTCTAACAGATCAAGAGCTTTTCCTGATTCCAAGTCGTATTGATTATAGGGTCTTAGTGCCATTTTGTCGTGTTGGCTGAAGAGAAGATACCCTGAGGATTGGTGTCAGCTTATGAAGAAAGAGGATTTTAATAAGGCTCATGTCCACGGCTGTAATAAGAAGTATAAGAAGCATGGTGTTGACATCTTGCTCAGCTTAGGGTGAGGCTTTTGTGCTGAGTCAAACATGGCAGAGGTCAACAGGTAAGTGGCCATATGTGAAGAGCGGCCAAGCCCAAGGGGCATTCCGGCTTTATAACAACCCACTTTCTAAGGAGCCATCCTAGTCTCTAGAGAGTGAGAACTCACTCATTACCAAGAGAAAGGCACCAAGTCATTCATGAGGGATCTATCCCTATGACCCAAACACCTGCCACTAGGCCCCACCTCCCTAAATTGCCACACTGGGAATTAAATTTCAGTATGAGATTTGGTGGAGAAAAACAAACCATATTCAAACCCTAACATGTAATGTCTAGAATTAATAACAATTCTTTAATATCTTTATCACATCATTCGTCTTAAGCAAATGTCAACATTTTGCCTGTCTTATTTAATGTTCCCCACTTCATTTTTTAGTTTGTTGTCTATAGGAATATTTTAAGGTAAAGATATCCTAATATCTAACCAGCAATTATTTCAGTATTCTTTCTAACAGATAAGAGCCTTTTCTATTCCAAGTCATTATTATAGTGTCTTAGTCCATTTTGTGTTGCTGAAAGAAATACCTGAGATTGGGTCACTTATGAAGAAAAGAGATTTAATAAGCTCATTCCACAGGCTGTA